CTCTCTCTCTCTCTCTGTCTCTCTCTCTCTCTCTCTCTCTCTCTCTCTCTGTCTCTCTCTCTCTCTCTCTCTCTCTCTCTCTCTCTCTCTCTCTCTCTCTCTCTCTCTCTCTCTCTCTCTCTCTCTCTCCCTCCCTCTCTCTCCATGCGTTGTCGCCCCCTCTTGTAACTTTTGTGCGCGTTTTCTTCGTCATGTGTCTGCCCTCCTTCAACCTGCAGCGTCTTGTCTCGAGCAGCCACCGAGCAGAGCCAGTCCACGCGCAACCTCTGGTGGAGAGGCGGAGCGGGGGGGGGGGCGGAGCGTGCGAACGCCCCAAGGCCGCAGTTAGTAGTATCATCCCCTTTGATTCCCGTGGGCCCTCGCCAAAACGCCTCCGCGCTGCCGCGGTTTTTGGAGGCATGCTCACGTGAGGGCGGAAAGCCCGCTCCGGTCTCTTTTAGCTTCCCGATTCCCTGCCTGTGGTGTTGCCTCGGCCGGATCTTCCAACCAGGCTCGCTCAAACACACAAGGGAGGCGGCTCGAACGAACAATCAACACTTGTTCGCCTGAATGGGATATTGGAACTGGCGCGCAGGAAGACGCCAACAGAAGGGCTAGAGGAGCGTCACTCGCGGGGAAGTGCCGGGGGTCGGGGAAGGGGCGGAAGGACACAAACTAGGTTACACAGGAGGCCCGCCCTGCTTGCTAACAGGCTCGAGCATAAGGTGGGGCTGCTCGTGGGGCCCGTGCGCTGAAGGGAGACGAGAGAGCGGCTGCCGTCACGCCAATTTTGGTCGAGGAGCTTCAGCCTTTGTCCGGCGAAGGTCGGGTGCGAATCCTTTTGGGGGTTCCGCGATTCGAAGGCCCTTTCTTTTCCTTGCGGATTGTAACGCTCAGGGGCCAAGAGGACAAAAGTTGGGAAGAGAAGCGCACTTCTTGTCGGCGTACTCCGTCTGCCCAAGGCCGAGATGGGTAACATGCCTGTCGTGGACGTGGGCACGAGGAAGGTTAGGGTGAAGCGCTTGCTTTCGGAGGGCGGCTACGCTCACGTGTACAAGGTAAGCGCCGCCCGTTACGATTTTTTCCGTAATCCCCTTGTATACTGCCGTCGTTGGTGGTGGTGGTGGTGGTGGTGGTGTCGGCGGTGCTCTTGTTGCGGCTTGTAGCATATGCCAGCTGCTCATTGTGCCTAGGTGAAGGCGTTCTCCATGCTCTTCGCCCTTTTCTTGTCACTGAAATCAATGTATAGACTTGGCCGGTTCGGTATGAACCGGACCCCTGCCGATCAGACGCCAGCGCCAAGTAGCAGCAGACTGCCTGGAGGAGTCACCGGGCAAGTGTTCAGAGTTGGGATCGACGCCCGATACGATAGCAAAGGATGGCACCAGGCCGTGTCGGCGTCCCCTCGGGCGCTCTTCTCATAACCGAACACCCAGTGCTGCGAGTATGGGTTCTCCGTCGAAAACAAGAATGACAGCGTTCAGTCCGTTGCTGATTCCTTCTCCGACTCGAACAGGATGGTGTTTTTTTCTGGATACGTACATAAGATGGGTAAAAACATGATGTATGGAGGACGTCCTACTATTTCTCGCAAACTTGCTGGCATGGTGCTCGAATCGCATGAGGCGATGACTCATTCTCTTATTCAGGAAAACCTGCCGCCCTCTTTTTCTTTTTGGCCATGGCTGTCGAACGAGTTGTATTGTTGGTTGTTTGAGCTGGCTCTACATTACTGCCAGATACTTTTTGTGGAGAGGATGGAATTCCGTACATGCAACGGGTGTGGATAGTTCTGAACCGTGTCCTGTTGCTTCTATTTTTATGTAGGAGCAAACGCGAAATAATGTTTGGTCACCAGCTACACTGGTCCTTTTCAAAAAGGGGTCACGCCGCTTCTCGTGCCGGCCGCTTACGTGTTTAGGTGCGAAAGAACAGCCGGTGGTGAAGACTGCGTAGTACCTACATGGGAAGGCCACCGATGTACACCAAGTATAGAAACACACACATAGGTGCTGTCTCGTGCGAGGTCTATCCCCCCGGGTTATTGTAACTGCGGAAGTGCAGAGCCATGAGTACACAGATGGTTGAGGGGAGAACAGAGAGGATGCTGATCCCTTGTCGCGTTGATGGTTGAAAGAAAACCAAGCAAGCGCCACAAGGGAAGAGAGAGGAAAGTAGCTCCGGTGTTTGTGCCTTCCTCCTGTTTTCAACAACAGCAAGTGCGTTGAACCTGTACGTACCGAAAGAAGACGTCGAGAATAAGTAGAACGAACTAGCGCTTTCGAGGTACACGGAAGCTGGACACCGCTTTCGATGTTGACGAGACACGTATCATATCCATCCTCGGTAAAGCCATGAGGGGTGGATAGTGACACCTGCTGTTTGGTGTGAACACGATTGAGCCTATCAGAGAAGAACGTGTGCTGCAGACGGGGGCACAATACACAACACCGCTGTGCAGCCTTGTGGGCCTTCACCTGCCGATGTTTTTGTGGACACGCCGACTTGTGGGCTGCCCTCTACAGCAACACCAACCAGCAGTAGCGTTATCGCTATCGGCACCAACCTCACCGTTGCTTGATAGGGGCCATTCGACATGCATTGGGCATCAATTTGACAAGCGTGCGGTACAGAGTGGACGTCGTACTCTTATCTTTTTGGCGCCTGTGACGCGAGTAGTTTTTGTCTCGTAATATTGGCACGCACACAGTTTTCGGGTGTAGATTTCATCCTCCCCATTGGCTGCAATGAGTATTCTCTTTTGGTGATTGTCGTGCTCGTGACGGTCTCGTGTGGTGTACCTGCTGGGTTTTTTTGTGTATCACTGCACTGTTGTTTCTCTCCTCTGGCCTCTTATCGGTGGATGCGGTGCCTTTTTTTATTCTCCCCCTTTGCTGTGATTGCCTTCGTCTCTCGCGCCCCCAACCCCCCCCTCCCCCCTATAATAGGCGGTGGACGAAGTTAACAAGAAGGACTTCGCGCTTAAGATGGTGCGCATTCCGCGGTCACGTTCGGGGCAGCTGGCGAACGAAGAGGTGAGGCCGGCGAGATGTATCTACCGTCGTGAAACTCTGATGAAGGTCATGGCCGTGCGTATGGTATGTAGCAAGGTATGCGCGAGTGCTTGGTGTACGACTGCGACATGGCCGCACGGGGCCTCCCCGGGCATTGACAAATGGATGAATTGGATCCCGGCATTAACAAGCGGATGAATTGGATCCCCCTCCCCGTTCCGCGCTAAAAATACATATGTTTATGTGCACATATCCCGTTGTACAGGTTGCCGAGATGGCGGTGGTTGAGCAGTCGGTGGTCCGTTCTCTGCCCAACAACCACCCCAACATCGTCAAGTTTCACGACGCCGGCATCAGCAAGGCCGACAACGAGATCCGCTACTTCATCCTCTCGGAGTACTGCCCGAGCAACGTGCTCAAGAAGATGAGCGGGGCTGCGGTGAGTCTTAGCCTTAGCCCCCTGTCTGCGGTGGAGATTCTTTTTTGTTTGTGGTTTCAAGCCGGAGAACTTGGGCTACACGTGGAGCCCTGAGTGAAGTGCGTCAACGTTATGATCGTAAATTTCCGTGACTTTCGTGCTTACGCCCAAGCCGTTTTATTCCCGAGACGTTTTGAACGAAAGTGGATGTCTCTCATTGAGAAGGTCAGGTACGTCTATGAGCGTGAATTCGCGCATGGAAAATGATTTGTGTCATGATATTAACCCCCCCCCCCCTGCCCCTCGTGCGCCATCTACGCATCCCCAGGACCAAGGCAGCCTCCTGCCGGAAACGGAAGTGCTGCTGATCTTTCGAGATACTCTCATGGCGGTGCTGTACCTGCACAGCCGAGATCCACCGATCGCGCACAGGCGAGTTTATACCGCTTGTTTTCTTGTTGTACGATTTCGATTGGTCAACGTGGGCATGGGAACGTACTTTAATTCCCAGATTTCGATAAGGAGTTTCGTGGGGTGGGGGCTTCTTGGCAATCGATCGATTAATGCGTGGGGAAAGGTGGGGCATTGGACCACTAAGTTGCCGGACGAGGCACCAGTGAAGCCGTGCGACAGCCCTGTTTTTGTCGGCAAGCCTCAACGCGACTGAAGCGTTGGTTGCACACCCCCCTTCTCCGTTTTTGCCTGGACGATAATCCGGTTTAGTTGGCACCATTTTTATTTTTCTATCCGCTGCAGCCTCTTCCGCTCCTGGCCCCCACCTACCATCACGCCCGTGTGTGGGGCCGTGCCGCGCCCGACTCGTTTCGCTTCCGTGTTTTTTCCTTTTTCTTTTCGCTGTTATTGCGCGAATCTCCGCTGAAGCTCGCCAATGTTTGCAATGTTTGGTCGCTTTGCTTTGCTGGTTCTGCAGAGATTTGAAGGTGGACAACCTCCTCGTCGGGCGGGACGGCCTCATCAAGCTCTGCGACTTCGGCAGCTGCAGCACGCAACACAAGGCCTATCTCTCCCCGAAGGTTGGTGGATTGGAGTGTGCCACACACCTTTCGGAGACCGCGTGAGGGTGTGTGGGTAGGATTGACGGGTGTCGGCCACGTTGCCACGGCGTTCTCGACGTACCTGCTCTCCTATCA